TTTTTTTGGTACTGGGGATCGAATTTGGGACCTTGTACCTGTGAGGCAGGTGGGGAACAAATGAGCTAACCCCCTGGCCCAATCAACAGTAGCTTTTCAATAGAAATTCAGGTATTGGTTTGAAAAGTGCCATCTCCTACGTTGTCCTTAAATGCTAGTTGTTAGACTGTTTGCTTCAGAGTAACATGGGGAATGTGTTACAAACATCCTCAGGCTCTATTCCTTTTCTACTCTGTCAGAAACTGCCTACACATTTTTCTTCCGTGCTGGGATTGAATCCAGGGCTTTCATACTGAACTACAACCGTAGTCCCTTTTTGTTTTTTATTTTGAGACAGGGTCTCAGTAAGTTGCTAAACTGTCCAGGCTGGACTTTAATTTATAATTTTGCCTAAGCCTCTTACAGGCCTGCACCACCACACCCAGCTAGAAATCTGGATTTTAACATGCACTCAGGTGATTCTGGTACAAAGCTATGTTTCATAAACACCTATCTGGGCTACCCTCTTCATTTTTTCTTTAATTTTAATTTGAAGCAACTGAAACCTGAAGAAGGTATGTTGTTTGCCCAAAGTCACAGAGCTATCAAGAAGCACTATCTGGGTGTAGTGACACGTGCCTGTAATCCTAGCCTCTGTGAGGCTGAGGCAGGAAGATCACAATTTTGAACCTGACCTGGGCAACATAGTGAGACCCTTTCTCAAAATGAAAAATGGCCTGGGGATGCAGCGTGGTGTGAATGTCCTAGGTTCAAGTCCTCAGTATTGAAAACAAAAACAAAACAAAACCAAAAGGGGAAGAACCAGGACACAACATAAGCCTTACAAGACCTGTCTAGGCAGGATTTAGTGCTCATACTTGGAACCTCTGTGATGCCCGTACACAGTGTGACGAGGGGGCCAGACTGGGCTGGTGTAGATGCTGATCCTTGTAGGGGCTGGCCTTCCTTCTGAGGTTCCAGCCTTCCTGACCTTGTTCTTGTGTCCTGCTTCCTACACCTTAGGCAGAATCCTGGAGCTGTTGCGCATCAACTACAAAGGTCAGTGTTGGCACCAGGGGCCCTCATTCACCAAGCTGGCCATTCAGCACTGCATCCATTCATCGGGTGCTTGCTGAATATGCTGTGTACTACTTGTCAGGCACAGTTGTACAGTGCACACAGAGGTACAACATCTGATCTCTCAGGGAACTTCTACTCTAGTGGAGGAGACAAACAGGAACAAGCCAGCAAGTAAAGGAATGGGTCTGTGTGACGAGCTACGCATTGTGATAAGGCCTGTGATGGAAATGCACTAGGTGCAACAATAAAAAATAACAAGTTGGAACTTCCTTAGACAGGGTGGCCATCGGAGGCCTGCTGAGGGTGACATCGATGCCTTCCCTCACCTCCAGCCAGCCTGCTGAATCATGCTTTGGAGCCACCTGGATCGGGTAGGAGATCTGGGCTGAGCTGGGCTGAGGAAGAAAGCTGAATTGCTAGCCTCTCTTGGCATGAAGATAGCAGAATCTCCTCTCCTCAAGTAGCCCCCAAGGTTGACACTTGGAGAGAGAACACAGAGAGCTGAGTGGGCCCCAGATCAAGGCTTCTCCATTGCTTGGGGGTCGTGCCCAGGGCCCTGCAGCCATATTCAATGCTGGGAAGGAGGCAGCTCCTCTCTAGGGGCTCTGAGCACCACCCCATTCCAATCTCCTGCTTCACCTTCTCCCCTTCTTCCCCATCTCCCCACTGGGAAGCAGTGGGCCAAGTTCCTGCCCTCTCGGTCTAGCTTGGCTGCTTCTGTGGCTAGTGGGATTTTTTTTTGTCTGGATCACCAATCACCAAGGAGAAAGGGGGTTGGGTCTTAGAGAGGATCTGTGCCCCAGGAAAGAGGACAGAGCCATGAAAAAAGGGCTGGGGCAGAGGAGAGAGCTCAAGAGAGGCCACAGGAGAGGGCATAGAGAAGACCTGAGCCCAGATGGCCCTTTGGCTGGACTCTGCAGCTCTCCTGGGCCCTTAGTGTCTGTTCCCCAAACTGGGTGGGTCTCTGAAACCAGCGGGACTGAGAGGTATGGTTCAAACCACCTGCTCTTTGTCCACTGGCAAAAAAAATACCCCTTGGGGTCCACCTGCAGCCAGGTCCCATCACCCCTCTCACAACGAGTTAACTTTCACATCAGCAACTTTAGCATAAGGTTTGTGCTCTATGCTGGCAGATCTCTCACCTGCAGCCTCTCCTCTCTCAAGGCTGTCCCTGGGAGAGCCCATGCTTCTATGCAGGAAGGTCCAGTCCTTTCCTTAAGGACCTGAGGATTAGAGAAACCTCAAGTAAAAGAAGAGGGTCCGATTTCCTGCAGCTCTCCCTGCCAAGGCTGTGCTCCCTCCACCTGGACCTCTTCTGGCTGCTCCCACCCACCCCAGACCCAGCTCCTCCCCGACCTTCCCTGCCAGAGCTGCACTGCTGGCTCTTAATGAGGTGCTAGGCAGCAGTCACTGTCCCCACCCTGTCGCCACGCCACTTCCTTTTGCCCCATGTCGCCTGCAGGGATGGGAAACCCTGGTGTTCAGAAATACCCGGCCAGCCTCACAAGCTGGGGGGGTAACGAGGGCCTGTAGAACCGTTCTCACATTCTGGCTCCTAAATTGGCCACCCATCTCAGGAGTCTCGCCGTCGTCCTCCCCGACCCCCCAGCCCCCAGGATGGCAGGAGGAGCGGGGCAAGCTGCGAGTCACAGGTTCGGAAAGAGTCCGGGGTGGGGGAATTTGGTAACAGGGTTGTAATCGGCTTGTTTTGCTTGCCACACAAACCTGGGCCAAACGTCCGGGGCATCAGGTTGTAGAACTACTCTCAGAATGACAGACTGGTGGCACCCAGTTAGAGGAGGGGGTGGGGTGAAGCGGGGAGCCCCAAGCAAGGGGGAGCTAGAGGGTTAAAAATAGCAACAGCCGGGTTTCGGTTAGCAAATGTGGAGGCGGGGAGCTGGAGGCGGGGCAGCGGTGCAAACTAGGCTGTGCTTCCCCTGGGTCCCTGGAGTGAGTCACCGTGGGGACGCTGATGAGGCGCAGCACTACCCCGGTGGCCAGGCTGTGCACGGGCCTTGGTCCCTAGGGGTCCAGACCTAAAGGAGGTTTTGCTCCGTCTTTCCAGGCCTTTACCACCGTCTTGAGAATTGGACCAGAGTATTGTGTGATTTGAGGAAAGAAGTGTTCCATCATTCTTAGGCTTAAGAGCTGCATTTGAACTCCAGCTGAAGACTTTGGGACCTTGCGCACCAATGATGAGGGCTTCAAGTGTCTCTTTCCTAGTCTTTGCAGGAATTTTTTCACACTTGCAAATGTAAACATTTTATGGATTCCCTGCCAATGCTAGTTATCGACCCCTTTTGTACACAAGAAGGAAGAATGGATAGCACTGACAGAATTCTTGTTTCTCCAGACATCTCAGTGTGACCTTTGGGTACCTTCCTCTGTGTGTCTCAGTTTCTTCATCTATAGTATGAATGTAATTATAGTTCCAGTCTCATGGAGTTGCTATAAAAATTAAAGGAGATAGTGTAAGTAAAACGAGCTCTGTGCCTGGTATTGAAATCAGTGCAATGTGGACTCATCGTTATTACTGATGTTATTGTACATGTTTTTGAAGGTCAGGGATAGAGAAAGTTGAAGACATAAGAACAGAAACTAAGCCCAGCCCCAGTTCACAGAAAAACCAGGCCAAATTCCCTGCTCCAGATTTCTCCACCCATAAGGACCTGCAACAGCAGGAATCTCTAGCCAGAAGTCACAGGGTGGACCCCTACTTCTTTCGGTCACTCCCTTCCTAGTGAGGCAGGGTGAGGGGGAACCCCAGGCCTCAAAGCCAGCTGGCGCTCTGTGGGGACAGCCATGTTGGCCTAGGGAGGCGTGGGGACAGGCCGCCCTGATGGCCCTGCTGTGGAGTACCTTGCCAGAATTTGTTGCAGTGACCTTTATTTTAGCTCCTCCCTGGTAGTTCTTAAGAGGAACACGAAGCAGAGGAGGGTGGGCAGGTCCGTGATGTCAGCTGTGAGTATTCCCAGCACAACAGCCCTGGAAGAGGCATGATGCATTTTTTTTTTCAGGAAATGATCAGTATTTAGCCATCGGGCCTTGATTAAGGCCTGACTTTATTCCTTGCCTGGGCTAGGACCTCAGGGTGATTCAAGAAAGGCAGAGGATGCTAGTAGGTTATAGATAATGCAGAACTTCAGAGAATGTGAACTTCAGAGAACATGGGGTCTGAGAATATGTAGAGGCGGTGAAAGCCCCATGGCCTAGTTCTCACGGGAACCTGAAGTCGTCTTGTCTCTGCTGCATGGCTGTGTTGTTTTCATTTGTGTGTGTGCTTGTGTGTGCTTACATGCATGTGTATACCGCACAGGCACTTTACGTGCACTGCAGATAACAGACAATACAGAGAAGCAAACATTAAGAAATAAAAAGCAGGGCCAGGGGTTTAGCTCAGTGGTGCTGCCGCCTGCCTCACAACCACAAGATCATGAGTTTGATCCCCAGTACCAAAAAAGAAAGAAAGAAAGAAAGAGAGAAAGAAAAAGCATCCCAGACTGCACTCAGAGATCACTGCCATAACCCTTAGTGCACACCTTCCCATTTTCTGTTATGCCTTTTCAGATTGTCCTTTGTACCAAAATGAGATCACACTGCACATATTGCTTTATCAGTGATCTCCACTTTCCATTGCAAGAGATGTCTTCTCATTGAGTCCCCAGTTAGCTAGAAATTGTCCTTACAGTTTGTCCAGATGGGTGCCTATGTGTATTTGTCTCTTGGATTCCCTGAAGGCCATGTAAACGACCTGGCTGGATTTGTGATTGGAAAAATCCTTTCTGATTCAGTGTCAAGGGCAGTCCTAGCTGCAGAAGGAATTGGGACACCTGGTGAATCTGTCCAGTAGACTTCTGCCAGCTTGCAAAAACAATTGGCCAAAGGAGAGGATACCTCCTAAAGCATGATGGGTTGGGGATTTCTGGGGTATATGCTGTCGTTGATATTAATGCGACATTGCTGTGAGTGCCATCATGAACTGGTATCCAGATGCCTCTGTTTGCTTAGTTCTTATGAGTACCCCATCCCTAGGCCAGGGTGCCAGTGGTATCTAGCTGTGACTTCATCCTCAGGAGTCTACCCAGAGGGTGGGTCTCCCTTCTGCACTAGTGGGTGCTTCTATCCCTTCCACCTGCCCAAGACCTGCCAGGTGTGAGGCCTGCAAGTGAGAGAGACAGGCCATCTCCTTCCAAGGGAATTCACTCCCGCTGGAGGGTGACTTGCTCTGGTTATGCAACTCGAAGTTTCTACAGGGCCTGACAGTTTTCAGAGTTGCTCGCACAGCATGTGATCCTCCAAGGCAGCCCGGGGAGGTCTGCTTGTTTAGTTATACCCTGCTGGAGGCAGCTTACAGGAAATACAATAAAATAGTAAAATGCACATTTAATAAGCAGGGAAATTATAAGATGAAAAAGGAAGTGAAGATGGGGGGGTGCCTCCTGGAGACAAACAGCCTGTGAGGGACACTGGCTGAGATTACAATCTCTGTTTTTGTTTTTGTTGATGTGTTTTGGATGGAGCACAGTACACACTGTGGGAACATGCTGTTGCTGGGAGTGACACCCTAGGACTATACTGTCTCCAGCATCCCTGTAGAAGTCTCACCTCACCACCTACTAGGAGGCAGGCAGGCTGAGCTGGTTGTACTTGCCAGTTACAGACAGCAACCCCATGCATCATCCCTGTGACCCGGGCAAGTGTTTTTTTGTTTTTTTTTTTTT